GAGAATATTGTTGGTTGATGATTTTGAACCGAGAAGCAATAGCTTGCGGTGATCGTACCCCGGCTCCGCTCATGCCCGGATCATTTTCCAAAAAATTTTGGTACACACGCAACCAAAATGAACCGTTTGATTGATTCGTGCCAATAGCCCCATCTTCAGACATAGAAACGGATGAAAAACTGAGCTGGGGGCTCCCTCTTCAGGACTCTCCTGTTAGTCCAGCCTTCGGGTCCTGGGTCTCCAGACCCGGGGACTTGACCCCTGGGCTCCAGACTCCTAGCTTTGTACTTTAGGCCCTAGGCCTTCTTCCATTTATCTTTGGGTCTAACCCCCTTGTACAAATGTAAACAATATCATAATGAGAACATCTTCTCTGTGGACGTAGCCCATTCATTAAGGGTGAACCACATATATCTTGTCTTTTGTATATTTATAAATTGGCCAAAGCCCTCACATACCTGCTGAAGGTCCAAGCCTTCACCCATCATCCATCACACCTCATCACTAAGTTGGACTCAATAATGGCCCAACCATTTTGAGCATCAACATTTACCATTGTTGTATTTTTTCTTATAAGATACTTATAATGTTGCCAATGTTTTATGTGATCGTAACACAAATTACAAGGGTTCATAATTTACTGCATAGTTTTAATAAATACGCATTTATATGCATTAATATTTCCATATGCAGGAAGTTACAAAGATTGTGCAACCTCTCTCTACAGAGATGAAAAATAAGAAAGGCAAAACACCGAGAGAATTATTCACCAGTGAACATAAGGGGTTATTGCATAAGGGAGAATCATGGATGAAGAACACTGCAAATTCGTGCATGCTTGTCGCAACCATTATTGCCACTGTCGTGTTTTCAGCTGCATTTAGCATACCAGGCGGTATAGCTGATAAAACAGGAGCACCAAATTTCGTGAAAGAGACAGCATTTCTAATCTTTGCAATATCAGATGGAGTAGCCCTCTTTTCCTCTTCAACTTCCATGCTGATGTTCTTGTACATCCTCACCTCGCGGTATGCAGAAAACGATTTTCTCAAATCCTTACCGTTGAAGTTAATGGTAGGACTCGCATCACTCTTTATCTCCATGACATCCATGATGGTAGCCTTCAGCACAGCCTTCTATTTATCTTGTCACTACGGATTAGGTTTCGTCTCGGATTTTATTTTTATATTTGCATTTGTTCCAGTTGTCTTGTTCCTTTTTCTGCAATATCCACTCTTGTCCGATATGTTCTTGTCGACATATTGTTCCAGTCTTATATTTCAGCCAAGAAAACATATGATCCAATAGAAAGTCACGGCCTCATTAATGTGAACGCTCTAACTGAAACCTTCCCTCCACAATCATGTATATGTTTGTATATTCTAGCTTAGTTTTGTAATAAAATAATAGTGATCATCAACAAATACATGGCGCTCAAGTTTTGTGTGTATGAAATGAAATCATCAATCGAAAAATCAACGATACTATAACCAACTAAGCTCTTGATTGAATTGTATTTCTTAGTCCTAATGCTGAAATTCAACCTTATAAATAGTAACGAAGAAGGAGAGCGTCAACACCAAATCTTCAAATTCATTATTTATCTTTATTCTCTGCAAATTTAGGTGTAGTGTAATTTATGAAATTGGTACTTAGGTGAAGGGGGTGAACTAAAGTAGTGTGTGAGTGTGTCAGTGTGTCAGTGTGTGTTTGTGTATAAATCTCTCTCCCCCTTGTAGTTTAGACTATCGCTTGAAATTTCCTTGTTGAACCAATTCAGACAAGAACTTTCCACTTTGGTTGAGATAACCTTCAATACCTTTCCCTTTCTTTTTTTCATCCTTCTGCTTATCTCTTCCCAACGGCCTTGGAGTGGGCATGACCACATCATCTTCATCTTCCTCCAAATTGACTGTATTGCCACTATGAGAAGAATCTTTGAATGTTTGTGTAGGAGATTCACATAGGTCGTTCCATTTTGGGCAATCTTTTAAGAGGTGCCAAGCATGATACAACTTGAAAGGCCTATTAGGAGGTTTATTATCATTCAAGAAAATTGTTTTTGCATTCAGATCCTACCCATGAAATAAAATAAAAATCAAGTTAATAATTAAAAAGAATTAAAATTATAAATTTAAGCATTGAAAAAAATGGGTACTCACCACATCTTCAAGATTGGTGCCACTCACATGCCTTGCATTGGCCTTTGTCATACATGCCTTCCATAGAGAATATTGTTGGTTGATGATTTTGAACCGAGAAGCACTAGCTTGTGGTGATTGTACCCCGGCTCCACTCATGCCCGGATCATTTTCCAAAAACTTTTGGTACACATGCAACCAAAATGAATCGTTTGATTGATTCGTGCCAATACCCCCATCTTCAGAGATAGAAACCTACCCTTTGCACAATGCCTCATCTTCTTGTGGTTTCCATTTCACACCTCTTTGGGATTTTGGGGCCATTTTCAACAAGAATGAAAGTAGAATGAAAAAATATAACAAAGGGAGAAAGGAACAAAATGATTTTTGGTGGATTATTTACTAAATGAATGGCTATTTATAGAGTTTGGAATAAGTTTTGGGGTTGGATCTGATTTAGATTAATTATAAATATTATTTTGACCGTTGGATTTAAATTTGAACCGTTGGATGTGAAATTTTACCATTGAGATTGCTCAAAAATTAATCATGATCATTGATTTTATAGTTGTTGGAATTTTTCTTTTTATTTATAAAAAAAAAACAGCATATCAGATTTTTTGAAAACATAGCCGTTGTCCATCAATAATGAAATGTGAATCTGCTTTTTCGCACAAAGTTGCTGCCCAAACAGAAATTGTTAGCGAGCCCAACAAATTTTGTCAGCACGTGGGCTTCCAGTCAGAAGAAGAAAAAAAATAGATTTTGGGCCCACACAAATTAATAGTCCAGGCAATAATGGGATTGGAATTCCATCCAAAGATTTGAGATTTCTCAAATTTTCACCCCCAAAATACATGGGTTGGAGAAGTTTTTTGGACTCAAAACTCAAAATTTGAGTTTCCACCCCTTGGGTGGGAGATGGTCTTAGGAGAGAAAATTTGAGAGCTTCTTCTTCCTCTGCATTTTCTTCTCTCAATGAGGTTTGAGATTTTTGAGAGAGAGAGAGAGAGAGAGAGAGAGAGAGAGAGAGAGAGATAATGGTCTTCTTCTTATTCTCTACATTTGCACTTGGGTGAGGTTTTAGTTTTCAAATGAGGTTTTTAAATAGCTTTTGAAGTTCTGCTTATATTTAACCTAACGGCAACAATCGGAAGCATAATGTACATGAAACGAAAACTAATCTAACAAAATCTATCATAACCACACACTTGAGGTGAGCTTACTGATATCAAAATGTTAGGGAACTCGCTTAGAAGCCCTAAAATTGCAAGTAAAAAGGAGCCGATGAATATTGGGGAAAAATTGCTTACCGAGCAAATGCTTCTTCTAGAGATTGAGACGACGAGTGAGAAGAGAGAAAAAGGTGGTTGCTTGTGGTATTGGGCTACTATTGTGGGTTTGTGAGGGTTAATAAAGGATGGACCGAGTAAGATCGAGAAGCGAAGCTCTTCGCCGTTGGATTCAAGGGAAATATTTTGTTGGCTCAATTAGGCCCATTGGTTACGAAAGACGATTACAAATCTAAGATAGTATTTGGAAACTTCTAGTTACACAAAAAATTATTGTCCAAGCAAATTGCAGGCGAATTTTGTTTGTTTTTATCCAACTGCAATGTAACAAATTTTGGGCTTTGTTAATTATGTGCAGTCATTATTAGTGCTTTCTAATTAGAATTCGGATTCTTTGTTATGATCTGCTTGACTTCTTTCCTTATGACGCCATCTCATTAAAATTTAATTCAAGGGATTTAAAGTTGATACCTTCCTCTAAATTTATTAGAAAATTTAACAAATGTGACAGCATGACCAACAACTAACAAAAATAGAGTTGAGGAACTACATAAGCCATTTTGTGAATTAATTAGAATACCAAAAATGCAAATTGGGTCTAAATGCAAGGATATAGCCACTAAAAAGCCTAAATATAAAATAAATAAATCAAAGCTGAATTGCCTGTTATACTTTACACTTTCTGTTAGAAAACGCAATTTTCCTTCATACGCCCCTATGTATACAGTATATGGTAACTCAAAACCACAACTATCTCCCCTTCTATTTTTTCATCTCACATTCTCACATGTAAAAATTAAAGGCTTGAAATCCTCTCAAATGCTTAGTTTTAGATGTTCTACTTTTGAGCCTATGAAAATTTGGGTCAAATTTAAAATATGTCCAAAACGATGGAAAGGATTTGGATTTGGGCCTCTAAATCCAAATCTACCTAATCAAATCCATGAATTCAAACGGATCCTTGTATTAATTAACAAATTAATTGCTTCTGACTATAATGATTTTGTATAATTTGTTTTGTTTTTTTTAGTTTTACCATTCAATTAATTGCATTCATGATCAAAATTAATAGCATTATATTAATTTCGAATTAAGAAGTTGCATTATGCATATAACGTTGGCTCTTTTTCTTTCTCCATTTTCCCATGTCTCTGTTTCGCCTTTATTATGGCTTTTTTTATTATTATTTATTGTTGGTTGTATTAATGAGATCCACATATTACCTAATGAATAGTTATATAATTTCACGTGGATGCTTACTTGATGGATTGGTATAATATGTGGGTCTTTACTTTCCTTGATTAAATTGTATTTTATCCATATATTAGGTAAATATTATCAAGGAAATAATGCAAAATTTAAATTCTGAGATTCAATTACAAGAGAATAATGCATTAAATTTGGATTTTCAATGTGTTTTCCTTATTTACCTCAAAGGTTAAAATCGATACCACAAAAAAAAAAGGCTTATTATCACAAAACATCCCTGACGTTTGCGAAACTATCACATTACATCCTTAAAGTTTTTTTGTATCACTCATGGTCCTTAACGTTAATATAAGTGCTCTTAAATAGTCTCTCTGTCAAAAAACCTGTTAAATCCAGGGATATAATCGTCAAATCAATCCAAAATTATAAAATATATAATATTTTTATTTCCTTCCTTTCTCTCTTTCTTTTCTTCTTCTTCTTCTTTCTCTCCGCCCCGTTCTTTTCTTCTCTTCTTCTCTGCTCTTTTTTTCTTCTTTTCTCTCTTTCGTCCTCTCTGTCCCTAATTATCCTTTTAAGATTATTCTTTTGGGCTATGTCCATCACACGAGGCCAGTACTCATCTACTTTCGCATTAATCTCCTTTGAAGACCACAAAAACTCAACTTTTCCATTGTTCAAATTCATCCCAGCAGCCCTCCATATCTCTATCATGTAGCGCCCAACAGTCTCTATCTTCTTCAAATCACCCCCCATCTTATTGTTTAGCATTGCAAACCAATCTGCAATCCATATTTTCACTCTGCAGCCAGCAGAGGTCATCTTGTTCACATTTATCGTCTTCATAACTCCCTACACAACAGCACATTTGAACCACAATGTGTCAAACAAAGTAGGGTAAATATTCAGTTATGCTAAGATACGCTCATATTATTATTCTTCTCCAATATGGAGGTATTTATACAAGTACAAAAATGTGTTAACCCTAAATAAAATAGGAAATATATCTAAATTACAATAGGAAGTAAATCTCTATTACAATATGACTAAATAATAATTGGTAAGTAACCAAAATTCTAATGAAATAAGGAACCAAATCCTAACTAAGTAAGACTCGCCAACACAATGATATAATGAAAACATGCCCTTAATTTTCTAACTACAACTATTCTTTCAAAACACAAGAAAGTCCGTTGCAATCCAAATAATCAATACACGAGAATAACAAACTACAGAATCTCAATTTGAGTATCTTCTCTCCACAAAAAGTATCAAATCTTGTTCAAAATCAACTACTGAAATTTACAGATATATAATCAACATCAATTATGTGTTATGAATTTTATGATTGTTAAAGAAAATTTGAAAAAACACCTGAGCAATATGCATTCGACCAGAGGGTTCAAACCCATCATTCGGACTTATGAGCGAGCAAATTCCGAAGCTCGTCCTCTTGAATACATTCCTCTGCCACGCTCCTCAACATCTGGTACTTCTCCTCCAAACTCATTCTTCACCAAATCACACCCACAAGTTTGAAGTAAGTTCAGATCAACGAAAAAAATTGGAAACGATAAGAAAATGATAAGAAAAGCGAGAGAAGCTTGGATTTGAAGAGCTGGATGGTGAAGCCTCGGAAATTGAAAGAGATTGGACTCCATCGGCTTGGGGGGCTTGCTCTGGTGCTTAAGTGTGAAGCTTTCCCAAAGAAGGAAAGAGGAAGAAAAAGAGAAAAAAGAAACAGCAAAGGAAAAGAAGAAGAAAAGAAGAGGAAAGAGAGAAAAGGAGAAAAAGAAGAAAAAAAGAAAGAAAAAAAAAGAGAAACAGAGAGAGAAGAAGAGAAGTAAAGAACGGGGCCGGGGAGAAAGAAGAAGAAGAAAAGAAAGAGAGAAGGGAAGGAAATAAAAAAAATAATAATAATAATTTTGGATTGATTTGACGATTATATCGCTTGATTTAACAGTTTTTGTTAACAGAAGGACTATTTAAGAGTACCTATATTAAGTTAGGGACCATGAGTGATACAAAAAAACTTTAAGGATGCAATGTGATAGTTTCGCAAACATCATGGACGTTTTGTGATAATAAGCCAAAAAATAATGAAAGTTAGAGAACCTACATCTAAAACCAACAACGCGTGAATTATACCCAATGACAATTAATTGTTTAGCACGTAGATCTAACAACCCAATAAAGAAAAGACAAAAGAATATACCCAATGACAATTGATTGTTTCACATTAATCACTTCTAATTTTGAAGTATTCCTAGTCCACATTTCTTTTCGGTAGCTTGTCTTCTTCTCTATTGAACTATTCCTAGAAACAGAGGAAGCTTCACACAAGTTTCCAGTCAATTATGATAAGCTTTGGTCGACCCTCTTTGTCTCTTGGCTCTCAGAGGGGAAGCCACTGGCCATATAATATCGTCTTGTCTTTATTAATTATTGGGTGTTTGGTGTCTTGTCTTCCTCCTCCAGCTGAAAGAAAGTAGGGAGACCAATCTACAGGCTCAACTATATAGTCAAACCCTCCAAGGCCTCGTTTTGTTTGGTGGGTATTGGATATTAGCTTAGTTGAATACCATATTTGGTGCTAAAAAAATGAATATATAGTCCTTTTGTCTTTAACAAAAGTGTATATAACTGCCGTATTTTGAAAAATCACATATGAGAAGGGAAAGTACGTTCATGTATAATACATGTGTGTTATGAGATGAAGAATCGATTGAAGAAAGAAAATACTTAGGGGCTGTCTGGTAACGTTTTTGGAGAATACCTTTAGAAAATAAAAACAAAAAAATGAATTTGCATTTTCATGATTCGAAAATACGTCTGGTAGATTAACTGAAACACAAATTTAAAAAATAAAAACAGTGAAAACGTGTCTGATAGTACAATTTGAGAATAATAATATGTGAGTTATTTTCAGGTGTATTTTGCTAATTTCTGTTCTAATTTTTTTTTTAAAATTTAAATTTTTGATATTTTTAGAGGCTAAAATTATTATAAACAATGAAAAAAAATTAAAGCCTAAAAACTATCTTATCTCCTTTCTTTCTCCTTTTTCTCCATTTCTTTCCTCCTCTTTTCTTCTTCCTTTCCTTCGCATTTCCGTTTCTTTTTTCTCCTTTTCTGCCACACCCACTCCTCCTTCCTTCCATGGCATGAATCCTATAAAACCACCCATCTCTCTCTCTCTCTCTCTCTCTCTCTCTCTCTCTCTCTCTCTCTCTCTCTCTCTCTCTCTCTCTCTCTCTCTCTCTCTCTCTCTCTCTCTCTCTCTCTCTCTCTCTCTCTCTCTCTCTCTCTCTGTCGATTGGGTGATGATGGTGGTTGAGCTGGGTATGTGGTAGTTCTTCTTCCAGTCTCTGTTTTTTTTTTCGTAGTTTGCAGATTTGTGTGATTTTGGGTCGGAGAAGATGGGTGTTGTTCCTGTTGGTGGGTTTATCGATTGTCAAGAAAAAGAGCTAGAGTTGTTGATGGGATGCATTCTCGTGTCTTTAGAAAACACTGAAAACGAAATCACTGAAAACAACTTTTTATCGTTTTCAACTTTTATTCACAAAGTTAGATTGCACCGAACAAAGGTGTATTTGCGGAAAACAGGAAACAAAAACAGAAAACGGGCTCAAAAGCAATAGTACTTTCTTGCTTATTGTCGTAGAAATAGCTGGCTTATGTGTTATTGTGCTTTCTTGCTTTTAACCTAGCTTATTGCTTTAGAAATGTATAATTACTTGCTGAATAGTTCAAGTTTTTGCGCAGGTACGACACATTTGAGCAAGTTTAAATATTTGGAACCATGTCTAGCCCGGACCACAATCTACACCTGCTTCCACAGAGCCTAAGCATCCTTCACGTCATCTGCTAGAAAAAGGCAATAGTACGTATGATATCTGTTTAATATGAAGAATCTTATCTATCGATCCTACACTTTTAAGTGCTAGCATAACAAAAGAAACTAAAGCAAAATTTAGAAAACCAATTATAATAAACCAAAACTATGGTTTTGAACCCTGTTTATGATTCGCTTGTATATACCATTGTTTGTTCATATATGCATCTATGCATTTGTATTTCAGTTGCTATTATGACTTACTCTTGCTAGTTCTGTGTGAAACTTGCCGTGTGGTTACAATGCAGACCAACTGTTCGATGAAAAGAACTTCTATAACAACACTAGGATACATGGATGCATGGTATAATTGAATGGAAGTACGGTATATTGAAAAATAGAATTCCTTTTTTTTAATAACCCTTTTGAAAGTAATCAAATCCTAATCCCTGGATACGATCAATGCTCTGAGTTATCAAAGGTAAAAGCAGCAGCATTCTTGTTGAAAATGGACTCTGCTTGGTTGTAAGTCCTTGTCTGTGGGATTAACATGAAACATTTTGTTCCTTTAGCAGACTGCTCTTCACATTGCAGCATGTGCAAGGCATATTCACTTTGTGGGGGAACTGGTCAAAATGATGGATGAATAAGACTTGGCACTTCAATACAAGAAAGAAAACACTGAATTGAGTTTTGCCGCTGAAGCTGGAGACATAGAAATTGCCAAGATTATGATTTAGAAAAAATAAGTTCTTACCAACAATTTTTTTTTTTTTTTAAAATAGCATTTATCAAATTAATGGTGGAGCCTGTTAAATATTAAACAATTAATTTATATTTTCTTTTACACATATCTTAGATTATTTGACTTAGATATAGTAGAATCAGTTCCACCCATTCTAGTAATTTAATTGGAATTTTTTTTCCCTTAATGTTATGTACCCTTTAATTCTGTTGAATTTTAGTCATCAAGTCTATAAGAACATCTCTTCTATATTTTTATGTGCACTTAGAAGTGGAGGAATTAATTACTAATAAACTTTTATAACTGGTTTATTTCAAAATTCTTTGCATTCTTTCTTTCTTATATCCCTATGAAATTATGCAGATTTAGCCATTAAGATGCTAGAAGATGATACAACACTAGCAACGGCCCGTAATTCCAATGCAGAAACTGCCTTACATGTCTTGGCTCGAAGGCCTTTAGAATTTGGTGGCCGAAGTACTTTAGGAATGTGCAGTAGGCTCATGAACTCATGTGAGTTGATTCTTCGAAAATTATATATGATATTGACATGTGTAGTAATTAGTTGTGTGTTTTTGTTTATTTGGTAATCTTGATCTTGTTGTTTATTGACCTTTTTACATCATAAAAATTAAGTAGTCTCAGGCACTGAGGATTCGTACAAAAGCTTGAAGCAAACTAAAGCCCTAGAACTAGTCGAATGCCTTTGGAATCAAATCTTGAAACACGACGATGACGATGTCATGTGCCTCATCACAGAACCTTCAGAAGTACTATTTGACGCGACGAGATTAGGAAATTATGAGTTCCTGTCTGTGCTTATTAATGCTTATCCAGATTTACTATGGGAAACTGATGACGAAAATCGGACTATATTCCATGTTGCAGTCTTGTATCGTCATGCAAGTATCTTCAATTTAATACATGAGACAGGTTCAATCAAAGACATCATAGTGACATATACTGATGATGAGAATAACAACATTTTACATCTTGCTGCAAAACTAGCACCTCAAAATCAACTCAATCTTGTGTCAGGTGCAGCTCTACAAATGCAGCGAGAGTTAGTATGGTTTGAGGTACCTCTCCTTGTACCCTTACAATCCTTACCATTTTATTATGTGTTAAATGTCTTCTTTTAAACATTATTGCCCTTTTTGTAAACTTTTCTTTTTTATTCAACAACTGTACGTACACAAGATTCAAACTCATGATATCTTCCAATAACACAAAGTGGAGACTAAATTACAAACACTTAAAAGCTCTTATCTATCATAGTAGCAGCTGTCAAAAGGCATTGCACAATATAAAATAACATTGAATCTAAGTCTCAAGAAATTGATTGGGATGAAAAGAAAGCTCTTGATAGAATACATTGGTGGCCTCCTTATTACTTCCACATTTATTTTAAACAGTTTCAATCGTTTGCGCGTAAAATCTTTATGTCCTTCAGTTTTCATCATTGATTTTTCCTATGACAGGAAGTGAAAAAGATTGTTCAACCTCTGTCCATAGATATGAAAAACAAGGACGGCAAAACACCTCGAGAATTATTCACTAGTGAGCATGAGGGGTTATTGTGTAAGGGAGAATCATGGATGAAGAACACTGCAAATTCGTGCATGCTTGTTGCGACCATTATCACCACTGTCGTGTTTTCAGCTGCATTTAGCATACCAGGTGGTATAGCTGATAATACAGGAGCACCAAAATTCCTAAAAGATACAGCATTTCTCATCTTTGTCATATCAGATGGAGTAGCACTCTTTTCCTCTTCAACTTCCATGCTGATGTTCTTGTACATCCTCACCTCACGGTATGCAGAAAACGATTTTCTCAAATCCTTACCGTTGAAGTTAATGGTAGGACTCGCATCACTCTTCATCTCCATGACATCCATGATGATAGCCTTCAGCACGGCCTTCTATTTATCTTGTCACTACGGATTAGGTTTCGTCTCAGATTTTATATTTATATTTGCATTTGTTCCAGTTGTCTTGTTCGTTTTCTTGCAATATCCACTCTTGTGCGATATGTTCTTGTCAACATATTATTCAAGTCTTATATTTCAGCCAAGAAAGCATATGATCCAATAGAAAGCCAAGTCCTCAATGTTTAACATTACCCCCAGAATAATGTGTATCAATGCATTATAATTGAGGAAAAATTTGTAATCAAGTACTTTAGTAATGGTGATATTGATTCAATAAGTCTTCGTACTTTGTGTGCTTGAATCAACAACATTATCTGAAAGGGGGTTTTAGTTCGAAAGATGAGATGTTATTAGAATTTCATAATCCTATATATGCATTTTTTCTACTAATTTTGAATCTTGAATGTTCGAACCTCTGCAATCTACTTAATATTCTGGAAACGCTAGTCTTTTTTTGCGTCGTATGGAAACACTAGTCTACATCACATAAGTTCTTTAGCGAGGAAATATTTCCTTGTAGAAAGTAATCAATTTCTCGTTAAACTTGTTCAACAAGGAAATATTTTGAGTCTTTCTTTGAGCATGAATTACATATAAGATAATAAGTTAGATTTGTGAGTATACATTCGATATATATATGAAGTGTGCCAAGCTAATTAAGTAGTCTAATTTAGATATGGCAACTAGAAAACCTCAATTAATTTTAGTCACAAATCAATCTGTAGCCAAAACTGGCTATAATGTGAGGTGCTTCTTAATAGAAGTGCTGTGCCAGGCAAATACAACGCAAATACACGGGAAGCATTTGGTTCTTTTTAATGAAAGTTTTGACATGGCCAAAATACCCTTATTTTATTTTCTGAAACGCCAAAATACCCTCGTCTGTTTAGTCTCTCCCATCAGACTCCATTTTATTCTCTCTCATCCTTAAATTTCTCTATCTTAGCCCCTCAAATTTCTCTCTCCATTGGCTAAAACTCGATTTCCTTTCTCTCGAATTTAGGGTCTTTTAGTAATACTTCGTATAAAGAAGGAGAAACAAAAGATCTGACTATTTCAAGGCCATAGCCACCGTTGCTCTTCTTGCAAATCACACTCCCTCTCACGTTGGTGCATAAATGTTGCAAATGCCCAATTGGTCCAGTGAATTGTGGAACGTTCTACTGGAAATTGCCTTTATAAAAATATCCGCCAATTAATCCTCAGACTTTACGAAAGGAAACTGAATCACTTTGGCTTCAAGCTTTTGTTTGATATAGTGTCGATCTACCTCAACATGTTTTGTGCGATCATGTTGAACTGTATTCTATGCAATAGCTATTGCAGCCTTGTGCGTGGTCACCATATAACCACACTCATCTCCACCCGAGATCCACCCCTAGCCCCACCCGAGACTCATCCAGATTCTCTCTCTCTCTCTCTCTCTCTCTCTCTGCAAATTCAAAAATTGAAAAAGAAAAAAAATTAAAACACTTTGCATCTAGGGGGTGCGGGCTGGGTTGGGCTCTAGGTTATGAGGGGATGGGAGGAGGAGAAAGGGGTCTTGTGGGTGGTCATGGGGAAATAGAAGTTTTTGGGGTGTCTTGAGAAGGGTTGGCTGGGGTTTTGGACTCAATGGGAGAGCAAGTTCGATGAGAGAGAGAGAGAGAGAGAGAGAGAGAGAGAGATATTTGTTTTATTTTTTAATTTTAAGTTTGTTTATTATTTAATTAATTAAATATTATTTATTTATTTAATAATATATGTGGACCACGTGATATCATATGAGTGGATTTATGTGGTACATTTGTTGCCACGTTAGCAGTTAATAGACTTGGTAACATAAAGATTGCTGACATGTATGCGACTGAGACGAAAAAAAATTTGATGTATCGAACTCTAATAGTCGATAAATTTTACCGTATGAAAGTGAAAATTACCCTATTTATTATTATGTTTTTGTACAATTGTCAATGCGTGGGTTTTGCCTTCACGCGTGGGGACCTATGTATCACTTAGCTCCAAATGGACATGTCTTTTGAGCAAGTTTCCCGCAAGTTTCCCTTCACTTTCATACGTCAAGTGTCTTTTGACTCTTTGGCTCTCCACCGACAAAATAATATCATTTCATCTTTGTTAAATATTAGGTGGTGGTGGTGAGTGAGCGTCTTCTTCTTCCACCCGAAAAGAGACCTGAAAAGAGAGTACGGAGGCTACTCTATTGGCTCAACTAGTCAAGCCGTTCAAGAGCACTACTTTTCCACACCCCTTGGGTAACTTTATATTTTCGGACATTTTTTTACCCTTTAAAAAAACATAAAACAAAACACTAATTATATAATATATTTGGAGTCAAAGTTGAAACTACACGTACCAAGTCTTGAGAGAATATTTTCCCGTTGAGAGTTATTGACGTCTTTAAGTTTTCCACTGAGCAAAGCTAGAGAGAGAGAGAGAGAGAGTGAAAGTAGTCCTGTTTGGCTTCAAGACTTTAGAAACCCTTCCTTCCTATATATAAGCTTCAAGTTTCCACCAATCATGCCATATCTAACTAGAGAAGAGTGGTAGTTGCTGTTTTAATCTCTCTCTCTCTCTCTCTCTCTCTCTCTCAAGGGTGGTGCTGGCGGCTGCTTAGCTTAGAAACTCCCATATATATTGGTCTTGTAAGTAACCTACTTATCCATTCCTCCTGTTACTTAATCTGGGCCAAATTTTGACCTATTTAGTGTGAAAGTTTGCATGCATATTCTTCAAGTTTTTTGTTTTCCTTTTTTGTTTTTTTTCTTTCTTGGGTCTGGATATCCAAATTCCAAGCTTAATTAGCGTTAAACAGTTTCAATCATGCAAATTTTATTCTATTTGAAAAAAATGATCTAGTGGAAGATCTCTTCTTCTTTTCTTGTTTATTAATTATTTGTACGGACATGATTCACTCTCTTTTGCCTTTTCACTTCCATTATATGTATTTGTTTTTTTTATTTTTTATTTTTATAATCCAGTTTATATAAAATCATATCTATAAAATGTGGTCTCTTTGTAATAAGGAATTGCCTTAAAATATTGCCCATGATTGTTGTGATTTCGATGATGGTGAGGAGGATACTAGTGTAACAAGCTCGACTGAGAGGAGGGGGCCTCCATCCCAGGGTCTCCCCACCCCAAGACAACCTCTCTCTCTCTCTCTCTTCAAATCGAA